ATTCCCAGCAGCAATGCAGAAGGGTTCCTTTTTCTCCATATCCTCTCCAGCACTTGTGGTTTGTTGATTTGTTGATGATAGCCATTCTGACAGGTGTGAGATGGTACCTTATTGTTGTTTTGATTTGCATCTCTTGGATGATTAGTGACTTTGAGCATGTTTTCATATGTAAAGACAGTTACTTTTATTATCTCACTAGAGGCCTGGTGCACAGATTTGTGCACTGGTGGATCCCTCAGCCTGGCCTGCACCCTCTCACAATCTGGGACCCCTCTCCCCCAGGAGATGTCGAAGGCCCAGTGCACAGATTTGGCCCAATCCCTGGAGGCCAGGCCGAAGGACCCCACCGGTGCATGAATCTGTGTCTCTAGTATGCCTATAAGATCTTCAGTTAATCTCTCCCCCCCTTCCCTCTGAGATTTATCTGTCCATTCCATGTTTCCATACCTGTGTGTTTCCATGCCTGTGTGTCTGCCCCCTGGTGGTCAGTGCACATCATAGCTACTGGTTGAATGGTAGAATGGTTGAAAGGTCAAATGGTCACTTGGGCTTTTATGTATATAGATTTTACAGAAAAGGAAACGGTGGCTTGAAGACATTAAGTACCCTTTCCGAAGGTCACACAACTAGAAATTGAGCCTGTGTTGAACTTGGGTCCTTCTGACTTATGTTTTTAACTGCTGTGATGATGATCAAAGCTCAAAAGTATAGTCTCCATGTTAGAATCACGTGGGTTTCTTGTTAAAAAAGCAGTTTCCCAAGCCTTATCCCAAACCTACAGATATCGACTCTGAGCGGAGTCCAGCAAAATGCAGCAGTTCCTTTGTTTGAAAATTAGTAAACTGTACTACACTGCCTCTCTTCTCATTGAGGAAAAACACCTTCTACTACATAAATATATAGTGAAACCATTGGTGATAACATAGTCTGGAAGATAATTTCCATAAAAATATATTATTAATGAAACTGTAATAAGAATGCAGGGTATTAGATTGATCTGCTGATTGGAACTGGTGAAGGCTTTGAGCTTCATTGGCTTTGGAGGATCTTCATAACTTCAGATCTGAATTCCTCAATTTAATAATTTTGTGAAGGTATTTTTTTGAGTGGATGCTTTTTTTTGTGTGGGGAGTAGGCTTCTAAGTAACATGGCTGCTAGTTAGGGAAGTTAGGTCCTGTGTTATATTTGACAGTGTTACAATTCTTCTGATTATTTTCACTAAGCAACCTGACAGAAAATGCTTTAAATTCAAAACTTTTCACAAAGTAAATTCCAGTGATTATAAGTGTAAATCTTTCAGATTTTGACAGAGAAAGTAGAAGGCGGTCCAAAATATCCTAAAGGAATTATTTCACGTAGAAGTGTGGAAAAATTTCTTTCAAAGAAAAAGAGATTTCCAAAGAACTACACACAACAGTACTTCAAACTCCTAGAAAAATTTCAGATTGCCTTGCCAATAGGAGAAGAACATTTGCTGGTTCCAAGCAGGTAAACCAAAAACTTAACATTTAACTACCCTATAGAAACTCACCATCTATTGTATTGTTTTAATTGTCAGAATAACTTTGATCTATGATTAATGTACTAAGTATTATTTTTGCTTATTGTGTAAATGTTCTTCTGAAGTAAAACACTTTTAATGAAAACACTGCATTTGACATTTTAAAGACAGAGTGACTTATTTCATGTCTATAATTACTATTTGGTTTACAACTATTTAATAAAGGTAAATAGTGGAGATTTGTGTGTGTGTGTGTGTGTGTGTGTGTGTGTGTGTGTGTATCCTTACACAGTAATGAGAGAGTTCTATCAGACAAATTCTGGGGAGATAGTGATTTTTTATCAGAGTTTTAAAATAATTTGTGGCAGTGAATTTTGAGAGGAGAGGGGAAACACAATGGAGGGCTAATTTCTAGCCCAGTATTATAGAAATTTTTCTTACTGCTTTAGAAGCACCTCAAGAATGTTAGAAAGTAATATGACATTGAAAAGTACAAATTGCATTGATGGATGGATGGTGACTGATTCTAAAAATAGATTTTTTTTTGGACATGCAATCTTTTCAAGTTTTATATAATCCCTTGCTTGATACTTGTTTGTGCATAACCAATTATAACAATTTATTTATTAGTATAAATAAGAATACTGAAAAAATTCATGCTCTACTACATCTGAGCATGCATTGGAATTGATTAATAACCATTGAAATTTTAAAAATATATATTTTTTGATTTCAGAGAAGAAGGGAGAGGGAGAGAGAGAGATAGAAACATCAATGGTGAGAGAGAATCATTGATCTGTTGCTTTTTAACGCCCTACACTGGGGATCAAGCCCACAACCCGGGCATGTACCCTGATCAGGAATCGAACTGTGACCTTCAGGTTCATAGGTCGATGCTCAACCACTGAGCCGCAATAGCTGGGCCATTGGATTTTTAAAATAGGAAGAGTATGTAGTAAAAGAAAAACATTGCTTTGAATATTTATCTTCAATTCATCAATTTCAAGTTATAAAGCATTTTGGTCAACATGGTTGGGTGTTTTATGAAACTATGTAATGATGCGATGTCCTTTTCCCTTTAGTCTGTCTGACCACAGGCCTGTGATAGAGCTCCCCCATTGTGAGAACTCTGAAATTATCATTCGACTATATGAAATGCCTTATTTTCCAATGGGATTTTGGTCAAGATTAATCAATCGATTACTTGAAATTTCACCTTACATGCTTTCAGGTAGAGGTAAGTATTTAATGAAGACAATATGTAGAGAAGTTAGGGGGAAAATACATTAAAAATAACATGCAATTTTCACAGAGCTTACTCATTTTTTAAGGCACATGAAAATCAGAAAATAAGCTTATACAACTTCATATTGGCCAATATAAAGACATGTGGTCAAATAAGTGTAACAATTTGTCAAGAAGAAAATTCCACAGGTCCTCACGTGAAGCCCATTTGTTCATATGTTAGACACATTTAAAATATGTATGAATAGTTTGCTTTCTATGCCAAAGCAGATTAGAAGCAATATTTTTAAAAGGTGGATTACCAAGAATCACTGGTTTAAACATACACACACAGGCATTCTTACACACACACACACACACACACACACACAACAAAGAAAAACTAGGAATGAGCACTGCAAAGTCAGAGAGTTTTACTCAATGACTTGTAACATCCTGACCATTCAGACCATTCAGCATAGAGACTATAGTGGCTCCATCTGCTGCGTAATCCCTGAGGAGTTTAAGAGAGAGAGAAAAAAGAATAAACATGATGCCACTGTTACTATATTCTGAAATAATCATATCTTGCTTGCGATTAACCAGCATTTAGATAGTTACATTGCATTAAAACATTCAGAAAGTTTTGATTTGAGCATGACCACCAACTTCTTTTTAAAGAGAACTTATCTTTGATTCTCTTTCTTCATCTGTTACACATATTAAACTATTTAACACCATAAACCTGAAATGTATCTTAGGTGATCTACTGGACATTTTTTGTTGTTGTGTGTTTTTTTCCGTTGTTGTTGCAAAATTAAGGATAAAATATTTAGCATCATATTTAATACCTAAGATGAGGACTATCAATCATTATTTCAATACTTTTTTTCAAAGCAAATACATCTCTATTACCGTCAATTGGGGGGTGCAGTTTTTCCCCCACCTTTAATTTATGGGGTAGTTAATAATTAATGGGTATAACTGGGTCCATTTAAACTTCTTCCAGAACGAGCGCTTCGCCCAAACAGAATGTATTGGCGACAAGGCATCTATTTGAATTGGTCTCCTGAAGCTTACTGCCTGGTAGAATCTGAAGTCTTAGATAATCATCCAGAGAGTTTCCTAAAAATTACAGTTCCTTCTTGTAGAAAAGGTAAGGAAATTAATTCAAAACATTGAACTGTACCACCAAAGAAATCTAAACTTAAAAAAAAAAACTTTATAGCTTCTCTTTGTTAGCTTTGTGACAGAATAAAGTTCCAATAGGGTGGTGATGAGCTCTTCTTTGGATTATGTAGGCTGTATTATTTTGGGACAAGTTGTGGACCACATTGATTCTCTCATGGAAGAATGGTTTCCTGGGTTATTGGAGATTGATATTTGTGGTGAAGGAGAAACTTTGTTGAAGAAATGGGCATTATACAGTTTTAATGATGGCGAAGAACATGAAAAAATCTTACTTGATGACTTGATGAAGAAAGCAGAAGAAGGTATGTGTTGATGCAACTTACAGATGTTTTTAAGTGATGGCTCAATATTTGTAAAGTGAGTTTTGTTATAAATGTAGAGACTGTTCTTATCTATGGGCTATGTGTTAGAGTACATTACATTCAACTATAGTGAAAATTCAGGAAAATGGATTATATTTGTTACCCGTAAGAGCATGTATTCTAAATTGAGAGGAATGTTGGTTTTAGAGGATGAATATTGCTACATTGAGCAACATAACTTCATCTGTGAAATAGGAATACTAATCAAAACTACTTAATACAATTATTATAAAAATTAAAATAGATTATACATGGAAATAACTTAGCAACATGTCAGCCATGTAATAAATGCTCCACGAATGTGGCAAAAGATATATAATGTCCTAGTCAGATGTTGGATAGTCTAAGGCAGTTCTGAATTCTGCTTTCTAATGAGTGAACCTAGGAATGAGTTTTAAAATTCCAATAGATAGATATTAATTTAACCTTTAAAACTTTATCAAAATTTCTAGAAAAACTAGGAGTCATAAGAAAACCTAAAGGACTGATTAGAAATAATAGAAAACTTGTGAAAATCATAAACACAAATTTATATGCATTCTTTTATGTACTTCTCAGGAGACCTCCTAGTAAATCCAGATCAACCAAGGCTCACCCTTCCAATATCCCAGATTGCTCCTGACTTGATTTTGGCTGACCTGCCTAGAAATATTATGTTGAACAGTGAAAAATTGGAGTTTGAACAAGCTCCCGAATTTCTCTTAGGTAACTATTTTTGTTAGTTTGAGAATAAAATGTAGGATGCATTTTTCCTAGTAATCTATAAAATTTTCAAATATAATTGTATTATCATGGTTTTTTGGTGTTTTCATATATTTATCATAATGCTTTTTCCCCTTTTGGAATGATATATTTTAAATTAATATGTTTCGGATCTAGAATTTGCTTTGCACACAGTCTTGTAGATTAGGTTTGAGATGAGAATGAGACTAGCATGGAAGCAAATATATTTATAAAATATATCCTTGCACTTTCTTTAATTTCCAGGGTTTGGAAGGCAGATAAAGAGGATTTTGAATGAGTGATACAGCCATTTTTCAGTCTCAAAACAGACAAAGTGGATTACCAGCTAGCTTTGATGCAAGGCATGGGGCAAATAGCTATGATAATTTTTCAGTTTTGACTCCAGATTAACCACAAAAAGAGTTTTGTTTTTATCAGCTATGGAAGGTGGGATAAAAACTAGTTTGGAGAAAAGATAATGAATGTGCCTTTTGGTGGAATGTGAGATTTGGAGGAGCATGTCAGTGGAAATCTCCCAACACACATTTGTAAATAGAGTTCAGTGGGTAGCTTGTGAAATTGTGAAAATCCTGTCTGTAGGGATTGATTGAGTTAGGGAGTAGATGGGGTCCTTGAGTGGGGAGTGTGTAGATGGAAGACAGGAAGACTAGGGATAAGACCTTTAGGCCCATCTTAGTTTATGGGGCAGAAGAAAGAAGAGGAATCATTAAACGAGAACTTTATTCAATGAACCAAGGGGGTCCGATTTATCTTCAGGTATACAACAGGTATCATTGCACCAGACACAATTCAGTTTTTCTGCTTGGACAGATTAATTTATGTGTTTTGTACTTTCTTTTCAAAAGGTGATGGCAGTTTTGGATCAGTTTATCGAGCAACCTACGAAGGAGATGAAGTGGCTGTAAAGATATTTAATAAACATACATCACTTAGACTGTTAAGACAGGTAAGAAATCCAATAACATTACCAAATTCAACCATACACTGTTAATCTCCTGGAACTCTTGTATTGCACATGTTTGTGAAAATGCAAAATGATGACCATGTTTCCCCCCAAAGTTTATTTAGTTTAATTATGAAATCCCACATTGTCCTCTCTTCATGGAGGAAAAAAGTTTTGTGTTTATCTTGTTGAAAACAAAGAAAAGACAGTTTTCTGATAATTCTTGTTTTCAGGCTTCATAGTTATACTACATGTACAGAAGAAAAAGGGTACCTCTTCTGAGGTCTTGTATTTCAAAGGAATCAAAATTTATGCACAATAGCCCATTTAAAAACGTTTCTTGGCCTCAATTAAATCACATTTTCTTTTCTCAACAAGCACTTATATTCAGGATAATGCTGTGTGCTGATTGGCTTATGTGCCACTGAACCAATCACTATGTTAACAAAGGTGGTATTATTTAGAGTATCCCCACCTTTCCCCAAGGCTGGAGATGGGGTCAGTTCCCCCTAAAGTTGATGGGCTGCATGGGTGAAGGTTGGATACCCCAGCAAGAAGCAAGGTATTCTTAGAAAGAAAGAAGGGTGACTGGATGTTGACTGCGTAACCAGAGTGGTCACCCCAGTACCCTCTCTTGTTTTGAGTACTGGTGGGGATTTATTTCTTTTTTTCTGAGTTTTTCCTTGTGCCGAGTCAACTCAGCCAAGGGTTCGAAAGTCTGAGTGAGGGCGGTGAAGGATGCAGAAATGACAGACAAAGAGAATAAGCTGGGTCTAGGTGGATCTTCCTGTGCCTGGCTGAGGCCACAGAGAGAGATCCAGGGGCAAGCTGAGCCTTTATTTTATAGCCAGAGGTAAACAAGGTAGTGGTCACCATAGTTACAATGTTCTTGTGAGTTTCACTTGTTTTGGCAGCACTTGCTACATCTCCCTCAGCCCATTAGCTACCTAGGAAGGATCTAGGGAGTGTCATAAGGTCAAGCCTAATTATGCTAAGGGGGCTGTGCCCTCTAAGCTGGGACTTGTTTGTGGCTTTGCCAATAGTTCAGTCCAAGGCTTAAAACCCTATAGCTATGCCCTACATTTCCTGACAGTAGGAATGAGGGAGGGAGACAGGGTGAGAAGAGAGATAAAATCCAATCTGCCATCTTATACCAGAAATCAATGATATTTTTGAATTTGTTCATTTTTTCTTTTGCCCTTGCTTCATTAAAAAAAAATATTTTGTGCCTGAATCTGAATCTAAATAACTTAGAAAAGGCACAGTTACAATATATTAGTTACTCTGAATAATAAAAATAATTTTGTGTCTGTGCAAAATACTCTGGAGTAATTTTAATTATTAGTACTAGAAGTCACACTATACCTCTAAAGCAGCGGTTCTCAACCTGTGGGTTGCGACCCCTTTGGCAGTCGAACGACCCTTTCACAGGGGTCGCCTAAGACCATCCTGCATATCAGATATTTACATTACGATTCATAATAGTAGCAACATTGCAGTTATGAAGTAACAACGAACATAATTTTATGGTTGGGTCACAACATGAGGAACTGTATTTAAAGGGCCAGAAGGTTGAGAACCACTGCTAAAGAATAGCTAATAAACAACTTGTTATATAAGTTGATTTTTCAGCCTAAGTCATTAGTCTTCAATGTATGTTTCAAATTTTCAGTAATGTGCTCAGGGAACTCTTTGAAAACCAGAACACTAAAAATGTATACAGGACTGACTAGTGCATGGACAGCTAGGTGAACCAAGGAAACAGTAGAAGGAATAGAAACCCCAAGAAACTAGAAATAGCAATCAGAAGGATATATACACCCTTATGTTCATAGCAGCACAATTTACCATAGCTAAGATTTGGAAACAGCCTAAGTGCCCATCAGCAGATGAATGGATTAAAAAACAAACAGTGGTGCATCTATACCACACTGCTGTAAAAAGGAAGGAAGTCCTACCATTTGCAACAGCATGGATGGAGCTGGAGAGAATTATGCTAAGCGAAGTAAGTCAGTCAGAGAAAGATAAATATCATATGATCTCACTTATTTGTGGATTATAATGAACAACATAAACCGATGAACAAAAACAGATCCAGGGACAGAGAAGCATTGGTCAGATGCTCAAACCTCAGAGGGAAGGTAGGGGAGGGGGGTGTTAAGGGGCAGAGATCAACCAAAGGGCTTGTATGCATGCATATAAGCCTAACCAATGGACACAGACAACAGGGGGTGAGGGCATGAGTCGGAGGGGGGCGCAAAAGGGGGATAAGCACACATATGTAATACCTTAATCAATAAAGAAAGAAGGAAAGAAGAGAAAGAAACAGTAGAGTGTGAGTAATATGCTTCTTCTTAAAAAAATCAATAAAAACATATTCTCCGGTGAGGATTAGAAATAAACAAAATCAATATTTCAATAAATCAAATTTAAAAAAAGAAAGAAAAGAAAATGAAAACATTTTAGTGTTTGGTGCTACCTTCTGAGGGTCGTTCTGCCCGTGGTCAGGAGTTGCGGCTGATCGATTGCATTCTTTTGCTCTTTTCTAGAGCTGCTTTTCTAGAATAGAAAATTTGGACTAGGCTTCTGCCTGTGAAAGAAAATAGAGCTAACTTGACTTGTTTTCATCAGTTTTCACCAACTCAGCTAATCAGACATAGGAGAAAAAAGATTTTAATCTTCTAAGATTTTGTCTGAAGCCTTTGTCTTTGGCAAAGCCCCTCTCAGGGCATTCAGCCTTCTCATTCAGCTGGCAGATTGCTCCACACTTCGGTTTCCTGATAGATGCAGTTGGCACCAATACGTCCCATCTTTGAAGCTGGGTCTTAACAAGCAGAGCTTCTGCAGAAGTCACAGCTGAAAACATGAATCCATTTAAAATCAGCTAAGCTATACATTTCATTGAAATTACAGTTTCAGAGTAAAGTGAAATAGGCAGAATGAAGCATGTGGAATTAAAAAAGCAGCAATATCCTAAAGGAGATGATGAAGTTTCGCACTATGTGGTCCAGAAAAAAAAAATGGTATCAGAACAGAGACCTCTCCGTTCAAGCTAAAATGGCATCTCTGACTTCTTGGATTGGAAAGAGGTTGTTGCAGGTGGGGACTGCTTTAGTAAGGGCGACCTGAGACGGGTCACTCTGAGGAAGGGAGAGTATTTGAGCTAAGATCTGAATGGCAAGAAGCCTTCAGCTCTGTGAAGGGGGAAGGGATTTCTAGGAAGAGAGATCAGCAAAGGCAGAGAACCTATGGCTGTAAGGAAGGAGCTGGGTGGGTGTCAGGGATCGAATGAACACCAGCATGGAGATGGGGTCTGAGAGGTGGGCCTGTGGGTGTCAGGGATCGAATGAACACCAGCATGGCAGAAGGGTGGTGAATGAAAAGAAGAGAGAAAGGAGATGGGGTCTGAGAGGTGGGCCGGGGTGAGATCAGGCCAGGCCATGAAGGTTGTATAAGTACATAGGATTTTTTTTTAATGTCCATGAATAAACCTGGTAATACATTACATTTTTAAAAGATATTTTATTGCTTTTTAGGAAGGGAGAGGGATAGAGAGAAATAACCATCCCTGAGAGAGAAACATCATTGATGGGCTGCCTCCTGCATGCCCCTCCTGGGGATCAAGTCCACAACTTGGGCATGCGGCTCTGACAGGTTGGAACCCATGACTTTTGGCTCCTGGGTCGATGCCCAACCTCTAAGCCATGCATGCCGGGCAGTACATGGAGTTTTAATCTAAAAGTATGAGAAGTCATCAGGGAGTGTTCAGGAGAGAGTGATGCCATCTACACCTGTGGAGTTTTGAGGAGAGGGCCAAAGCCTAGATTTCTGTGGCCTTAGACATTAAACTTTTCTCATCAAATCAGAGATTGACAGGCAGATAGATTCCTTACAAGGCAGTTACAGTGGATTAGTGGTGGCTACTCAGAATCCGGCACTGAGAAGGTTAACATGACCTGTTAGCATGACCACAGGTGTGTCCTGTCCCTGAATTAAGTGTTCTGATGAATGCAGAGCAGAAAGAAAAATAGAACTTAAAATGTTAATTCATACTATAGTTTCAAAAACCAGCTGTTCATTCCAAAAAATGTGGGAAACGTAAAAAATCTCACAGAAGAAACAGTTTCCTATCATTGAATCACCCAGCGAAAACCATCACAGGGTGTGGACGCACTTAAGGCAGGAGACGCTTGGGTCAGAGCGGGTGTCCTGTTCCTCTGAAATGATTGGCTTTTGCAGGAGCTGGTGGTGCTTTGCCACCACCGCCACCCCAGCTTGGTCTTTTTGCTGGCGGCTGGGATTCGTCCCCGGATGCTGGTGATGGAGCTGGCCCCCAAGGGCTCCCTGGACCGCCTGCTGCAGCAGGACACAGCCAGCCTCACGCGGACTCTGCAGCATAGGATCGCGCTCCATGTGGCTGACGGCTTGAGGTATTTACTCCTGTGGTTTTCTCTTCACTGTATGACGCGTGTTAGCCCACACTTCCTCCCAAGGCTCTGAGAATAGCACTTCCCACTAACAATGTGTCCTAGTAACATTAAAAAAAAAATGGGGGATGAAAAACGACCATTTCCCCGATTGAATTTTAAAATCAGATAAACCAAGAGAACAAAGACCATGGGGAGCCTCCTAGCTAGTGGTAGGGAGTAGGAACCCAGGAGTCCTGCTCCAGAGCCCATGATCTTGTACTGACTGACCTGCTTCCTCTAAAAAGCTACAGGCGAGCATTCCAAGTATCAAGGAAAGTGTCAGGGATCATGGATGAATCCAATATGCAAAGATGAGCCCATCTTTCTGAAAAGGACTAGAGTGACCTGGGTTGTTCTGGATCGTAATGTGTCTCCGAGGCACACCTACCCTGCAGTCAGAGGTAGACGGCCTCGGAGAGGCAGCTCAGCAGTGGAGAGGCTGTGGTCTTTGGAGTCAAAAGGAGTGGGATAGCCTGGCGAGTGTGGCTTAGTGGTTGAGCGTCAATCCATGAACCAGAGGGTCACAGTTTGATTCCACTTCAAGGCACATGCCTGGTTGCAGGCTCGATCCCAGTGCGGCACATGCCTGGGTTGCAGGCTCGATCCCAGTGCAGTAGGGTGCCAATCAATGATTCTCTCTCATCATTGATGTTTCTATCTCTCTCCCATTCCTTTCTTCTCTCTGAAATCAATAAGAACATATAAGGAAAAAAGGGACTAGGATAAATCACTGCTCACACACTTTGTATCTGTGATTTTATTTTATTTTTAATGTATTTTTATTGATTATTGTTTTCAACCCTCTCCTACCTCACTTTCTGGTCACTGTGCTCAGCCCTCACCTCCCTGAGGTGTCTTGAATATACCAGCTCATCTCTCCACCAGGAATCTCTGACTCCAGATATCCTATTGGCTCGCTTCTCATTTCATTCAGTTCTCTTCTCAGACAAAATTCCCTGAATCCTGTGTCTCTTTAGTCCCTATACCACTCATTTCAGACTGGTATTCTTTGTTTTTATTTTTTCTTAAATTGTTTATTGTCTGTCTTTGCCACTAGAGTCTAAGTGTCACAATAGCAGGAACTTTGCATCTCATTCATGGTTGCATCCCCAGCACCTAGAGCAGTGGGGCCTCAGTAAATATGTGTTGGCCTTGGATGGAGAGGGAGGAAGGAGGGAGGGAGGGAGGGATGAAAACAGTGCCTCCCCATAGTTGCCACACCGTGGATACAAACCTCCTTCCCTTCTGAAATAGTGTGTCTCTTCCTTTTGGGCCATATCCAGACATGTAAATGAATGGGCACTGAGGAAAACAAATAAACACAGCTCACAAACACACCAAACCAAACCAACCAAGAGGATGTAACTCTTAGTAACATATAGGGAATATAATAAGTGCGTAAAATAAGTAGATTTCTCTTTCTGAAAGAGTCCAGAAACCACTGTAAAACAACAGAATCAGTAAATGAAACAGGAATGCAGATTTGGGTTTGGGTTGCTATACCTACTTTTGAACACCAGGGGGAACCTTGTGTTAAATTAATCCAGATAAAGTTCAAGGAGGCAAGAGTTTATTTGATTTCAGTAGCTATCAATCTTCCACCAGCACTAAGTAAAACTCAGCATTAAAGTTTGTCTTCCCAAATACAGGGTGTCCCCCAAAATGCATATATTATACACTTTAAATAATTATAAAGACAGTGTCTATTAAGACATTTCATTTTCATTTAACAACCATCAGCTGTTAAAGTGTGTATGTATTTTTGGGACACCCTGTATATTTTAGTATAGAGTCTAACTACAGAGGTAGAAAGAGGCGACGAAACCACACTCCTTTGGAGTCCTTAAATGGTAGAGCTGTTTTGAGTGACATACAAGAACTTCTTTACATTACATATTTTTTGTTCCACAGTTTTGTCTTCAACTATTAACTTACATCTTTAATTCAGTCTGCTCCTTTGAGCTCTTCGTCATAATTCTCCATTACCAGTGAAGACTTCCCATAAATACCCATGTTTCAGGACATTCAAAATTGAATTTACTTTCTCTGTCTGCTCCTTTGAGCTCTTCGTCATAATTCTCAATTACCAATGAAGACTTGCCATAAAAACCCATGTTTCAGGGCATTCAAAATTGAATTTACTTAAACAATTGGTATCTGCCATTAGTTCCGTGAGATTTTGTGTCCTAAAGCAGATGTTTAGCATACCTTGATTGCATTTTTCATTCATGGCAAGTTTTTAGGATCTAAAAACACATCTTTGGGAAAAGGGAGCCTTTTGTTTTTGTTCATGGTGGGACCTAGTGCTTGTTTGAAACTACGGCCCGTGCCATGGGCAAACTACGGCCCATTTGAAATGAATAAAATGAATAAAACTATTGAGAAAAAAGACCGTACCCTTTTAGGTAATGATGTTTACTTTGAATTTATATTAGTTCACACAAACACTCCATCCATGCTTTTGTTCGGGCCCTCCGGTCCAGTTTAAGAACCCATTGTGGCCCTCGAGTCAAAAAGTTTGCCCACCCCTGGTCTAGTGCCTCCAGGAAATTATCAGAATATTTCTTCTAAAATAAAAACCTAATCACGCCTGAAATTTCCTGGTTGTTCCAGGCTATCTATGAAGTACATCCAAATTCCTTGATGTAGCATCAAAACTCTTTCTGTATGCCCTGTGCCTGCCTCACTGGCCTCCTGCCATGCTGCCCTGACTCTGCATTCTAGCCATGCTGAAGGTCTCGACATTTCATGGACATCCATGTCTATCTTTGCATTTGCCATTCCTCTTTTTCCACTAAGTTGTCTGCCCAGAGGACTCATTTTCCTCTAGAATTCGCACACACACCATCTCCGCAATGAAGCTCAACAGCACCGTGAATGGTTGGCTTCTGTAACATGTTTCTGGAGTCCACTCCATGCAAGACTTGGTGTTGGGTGCTGAAGAAGGAAAAGTAGAAATTATATTGCTCTTAGCAATTAAAAAATTGACAGTGTAATGGAAGAGTCTGCTTTGCTATCTTATCTCTGTGCTTTTGTCCCTCTGGCTTCCCTAGCATTGCACTCACTACATTTCTGCAACCTTGTTAGAGTCCCCATTTCTCCTTATAGATCAGTGGTTCTCAACCTTCCTAATGCCGTGACCCTTATACAGTTCCTCATGTTGTGGTGACCCCCAACCATAAAATTATTTTTGTTGCTACTTCATAACTGTAATTTTGCTACTGTTATGAATCGTAATGTAAATATCTGATATGCAGGGTGTATTTTCATTGTTATAAATTGAACATAATTAAAGCATAGTGATTGATCACAAAAACAATATGTAATTATATATGTATTTTCCGATGATCTTAGGTGACCTCTGTGAAAGGGCCGTTTGACCCCCAAAGGGGTCGCGACCCACAGGTTGAGAACCGCTGTTCTAGATAGTGACCTCTCAGGATACACTGGCAGTAGTCATGATTAATGAAGGACTGTGTTTAGACTAATTTTTAAAATAAAAAAAATTGTTAATGCTTATTGTCACAATGCATAAATTGTGGCTGAAATATATTTAGGAAGGCAAGATCTGCACTTGTTAAGATTTCAAAAGTTATTTTGCTAGCCTATTAAAAGTTATTAAAACTGTACTTTTAAAGATTAAATTCTATAATTGAACATTTTAACTAACCCAGATTATCTTTCCCTCCCACTGACATTATTCCAAATTAAGTTTAACTACTTTTTTAACCTCTGTGAAGAATTCTGAGAGTCTGTATTCTATAAATATTCTGTAAGAGGCATGCATTATGAAGGATTTGGCTGTTCTTCAATTATGCATTACTTGGCTTTAACTTTTTTCTTCTTAATCTCCCAGCTTTCTCTTCAGCAGGGCAAGGGTGACTAATGGCCTTTTAGTAAGCCCTTAGTAAATTTTTCTTTCATGTCTATTCCTTATTGTTAAGGTCAATTTCATTAGTACATTTATCTTATTTTTCAGCCAAAAAATACGTATAGCGAAATGAATAGGCCTAATGTCAACTGTCCTAACTACATCCGGGAAGGGAATCTTCTACTGCATTAGTTGATGTAATTAAATGATGCATACAACTGGGCCATCATGCAATGGAAATTTCAGGGTATTGCTTCCTTTCTGCTCCTCCTAGTCCTCTGCCAGTGATTGGTACTAGATAATGGAGTAAACATTTGCTAATCTAATGTGATCCCAAACCAAAAAACCACAAACAAACAAAGGGTTTATATTTATCTCTATTAAGAACTGTGAAAAATTGTTCTTACAATGTCGGTCATGATAAACTTGGAAGATTACATGGAGATTTATGGCATATTTGACAGCATAGAAGAGAGAAGACAGAGGTGGAGAAAGTGTGGATTTTGTGAATGTATAATGAGAGGCAATAATTGACTTACTGTAGTAGCTGGAGCACAGTAGTAGCCCCCAGGCCATGTTTCCAGAATAGACAAGATGTGGTTGAGATTAAAGCTTTATTTTAGTGTTTTTACAAATAATGCTGCAATGAACAGAGGAGTACATATATTCTTTCAAATTAGTGTTTGGGTTTCTTCATGTAAATTCCCAGAAATGGAATTGCTGGGCCCTAAGGCAATTCCATTTTTAATTTTTTGAGCTAAATCTATAATGCTTTCCACAGTGGCTGCAGTGATGGAAAAAATAAAATAAAATAAAAACAACAAAAACATTTTATTTTCTTTTTTATATTAACTAGTTTTATTAACTTTATTATCAGTATCCAACTCTAGTTGCTTATGGATCAGTCTAAAAGGAAAGATTTAAACATCACCCAGTATTACTTTTCCCAAGAAAATGTTTTATTTATTCCAAGTCTTACCCAAAATGTTATTTGTCAACCTTAATTTATAATGGAATTGGGTTTAAAGTAAGTTAGGTCAAAAGAATACAAATTGAAAGCTAGAAAAGTGTTTTTATTTTGATTGTTACTATTGAAAAGCAGAAAATATTTTCCAAAGATTGGGTAGCATTTTAGTCAGTAAAAATAAATATCAAAAGAGAAATAGAACAAAGAGAATGTAAAAATATGAATGATAAACTTCTATATGGTTTTAAGAAAAGCAAAACTATTAAGTAAATGGGGGTTACAACACTATCCTATCAACTCGTATTAAACATATTTACATTTTAAACTAGTAAAAATACTCATGTGATCATTGAAGGAATTGAGAATTCCTTTTAAGTAATTCTTAAGGTATATGAAAGAAAAGTCTCAAAAACTGGTCATTTGTTTCAAGTGGTTGTGGCTTAAGTATAAATCACTGATCAGGATTGACCTGGTTTGATGTTATTGTGTGTGTTTCTATTTTTAAGGAATAAGTTTGCTTTATAGTATTGGGCTTCCTTCTACAATATCTTTTAACTTTGAGGGTCAAACAGCACAGAATTTTTAATGCTTTGCATAGTGGATATACGTACTTAAGAAAATCCTGACAAAACTTATAATAATTAATAAGATGACCCGTGCCTTCCTGTGGCAGATACCTCCACTCGGCCATGATTATATACCGGGATCTGAAGCCCCACAATGTACTGCTCTTCACCCTGTATCCCAATGCCGCCATCATTGCCAAGATCGCTGACTACGGGATTGCTCAGTACTGCTGCAGGATGGGCATCAAAACCTCGGAGGGCACACCAGGTAGGGGATACAGTTTCCTTGACAATTCCCTCAAGATGGCAACAGTGTCTTCAGTTGTGAGGTCAGGGGCATGAAGAGAACCCTGAAGCCTATCACAGTGTGTGTAGACACTAGCTGACTGTGTGAAGAACTGTGACCAGTACATTGTAATTTTTTTAAAAAAATATATTTTATTGATTATTTTACAGAGAGGAAGGGAGAGGGATAGAGAGTTAGAAACATCGATGAGAGAGAAAGAGACATCGGTCAGCTGACTCCTGCACACCCCCCATTGGGGATGTGCCTGCAACCAAGGGACATGCCCTTGACCGGAATTGAACCTGGGACCCTTCAGTCCGCAGGCTGACGCTCTATCCACTGAGCCGAGCCAAACCTGTCAGGGCTAGTACATTGTAATTTTGATCGTTGTATTCTGTAGGGTAAAAAAAAAATCAAAAAAAAAATCAACTGATGTAATTTTCCAGGGGAAAGAAAACAAAACAAAAAGAGAGAATATTTTTTGTCAAGTTATATTTTAAAAGTTGGATTTTTACAATACTTACATATTCCAGAGATGTTTGTAAAAAGGAACAGCAAAAGTTTTAACCTGGGCAATGTTGACCCCAACCTAAACATGAAGCAAGCCAAGTTCAGGTTCACAAACCCTTTTTCATAACTCTGAAACAGTTCAGGTACTGGCAGGGACCACAGTGCAGTATGTCCACATTTTTAAAGATAAATATGAGATGGATTCTTTCAACTTGAAGTAACTTGGAGACCTTTAACCTTAACTCAGACAAATGGATATACTATATCCTGTTGGGGGTGACAGTTCTGGGTCCTGTGATAATTGTACTGTTGACTGAGATCATTGCTGACTGATGGCTTCAACTCATCCATAGAAATGCAACAGTCTTTGGGTAAATAAAAATGTTAGTCTCTAGTTATTCACTATCATCTGATAGAAATTATGTAACGTGTTCTACTTACACTTCTCTGAAAGTGAAAAAAAAAGATATAAAATAAGACATAGCTTATAAATCGCTCATAATTTTGATCTATGACTGTTTTCTTTATATACTCATTGCATTTGTTAAGTCAGGCTTATCTGAAAAATTATTTCTTTAAAAATAGTTTTTAGACAATGAATCCTATTTTCCCAATTATTTCAACATTATTATTATGATAATTCTCTGAGGGAAAATGATCCTTATTTATTTTTATTTATTTATTTGTTCATGCATTTGGCAATAATTTATTGACAGTTTACCAAATACCAAACTGGTGCTATCACTTAATAGCTGTTTGGGGTTCATCAAGATTCACTCTCTGGGGCTCAGTTCTCATTGCTGTAAATTGTGGTGAGGGAAATAATGTCTATCTCATGGGGTCGTTGAGGGTAAAAAGGAAATAATACATAGAACAAGGCTTGGCCTATTGCAGTTGCCCCAAGTATGTTCACAATTACTCTAGTGGTGAATTTTGGAATGTGCATGAATAAGTGTAAATTTTGCCATCCAGAAGCATACATTCTGCCAGGAGAAATAAGGCTGGAAGCAAATAATCATAAAGCATGTGTCAGTGTCAGTAGGAAATCTAGTTCAAAGTCTGGTGATAGCCCCAAGGAGCGAGTGATTCCCTGAGCTGTAGGTCATCAGGACATCCTTCTAGGGAAGGTGATTCTGGGTTTATATCTTAAAAATAAGCTTGAAGGCTTGGAAAAAAGGAAAAACTAAAGGAGTGGGAGGAGACATTCCAGGCAAAAGGAACTAAGGAATAAAATACCTTATTGAGATACCTTCAGGAAATTTGGTATGAGTTAAGTGATAGGTGGAAGATGAAGGGTTATTTAGTTAAGTGTTTTTCAATTTCGGCTCTATATTGGATAACATGTAGAGCTTTAGTAAATGTATTCACTGGGTGGTACCCTTCAGAGTTCTACTCTAGTAGGTGTGGAGCAGGGGTTCTCAATCTGGCCACACGATAGAAGTTCCTGAGAGGGACTTTATTTGTTTTAGACATAGTTTCATTTTTATTTTTCTATTGGGTAGAGGGAGCAGAGTCACACATTCTCAAAATAATGAAGGCAGAATTTTAGCCAAGTTAATGTCACTTGAAGTCTAGAAATCGCCCTCCTGCCCGTTTCTGTGTTTAAAACACTTCCCTGGAAGGAGAAAAATAATAAGAGATTTATTTTCCTATTAAGTTTCATTTCTTTAATTTTGAAACATTACTTAATAATTCCGTACAGAATGCTTACTGTTATTATTCTTCAAGATTGACCTTGGGGTGAAATGTCCTGGGACAGGACTGTTAATTGCTTGATCAAGGTGTTTCCTTATAGAGTTGACATGGCCTAGTTTAGAACTCATCTCCCAGACACTTCATTAGCATATATGCCTAATTATAGGTCTCCTTAGGTATATGAGCTCTGGTTTGGGCATATTTATTAATATATCTGTTTATTTTCAGGCTTTCGTGCACCTGAAGTTGCTAGAGGAAATGTAATTTATAACCAACAGGCTGATGTTTATTCATTTGGTTTACTACTGTATGACATTTTGACAACTGGAGGTAGAATAGCAGAGGGTTTGAAGTTTCCAAATGAGTTTGATGAATTGGCAATACAAGGCAAATTACCAGGTAAGTTTTATTTATCTTCAGTGGATTAAAAAATATCCTTTAATAAAGCTATTTAATTGTAGTTGTGTACCTAATTCATTTCACAGAGGATAATTGCTTAGTGCATGAATATTCTTACATCTGTGATACAAATAAAAATCACATGAATACAGTAGCAGTTTTAGGCTTTTTAATTTATTTTTAAAATATTTTTATTAATTTTAGAGAGAGGAAAGGAGAGGGAGAGATAGAAACATCAGCGATGAGAGAGAATCACTGCTCTGCTGTCTCCTGCATGTCCCTTACCTGGGATTGAACCCGCAACCCTGGCACATGTTCTGACCAGGAATAGAACCATGACCTCCTGGTTCATGGGTAGATGCTCAACCACTGAGCAACACTGTCTGGGCTAGGCTTTTTTATAAATCCCAAGTCAATATTGCTTTATTTGGTGTATATTTAGAAGAATGCTCAGAATAGGATCATGCTGTTAAAACTTCAGGTGTTAGAAACTAAGATGGCGGCATAGATAAACACCGGGAAATTGCTGCCTCCCACAACAATTGAATAATACATCAAAAACACAAAACGGGCATCATCCAGAACTACAGGAAGCCTGGCTGACTGTAAATTCTACAATTAGAAGGAAAGAAAAGCACACTGAGAGCCAGAGGAGCTGCGGAAATAAAGCGCAGAGGTACGGGGCTCGCTCGCGTGCAGAAAGGGTCTGGCACCTGAGGACGCAGCTGTCTTTTTGAATCCGGAGGGAGTCACAAGCTCCTGACTGCTCTGATCTCCGATTCCGGGAAGTCCCTGGGGACCCAGGACTCATACGGGGAGAAACTGGAGTGTCTGGCAG